TCTTTTCACCATGGAGATGGATAGGTCTAATGCCATATCAAAGAAATAACATCTCCTTGGAGTTAAGTAAATGGCATATCTCCATCAGAAAAGTTACACAGTGCATCTTTAATAACAATTCAGCAGAGACTTGAGCCGCTTACAGCCTCTGCAGCTCTGGGAGGGAATTCTGGAGGTTCTGAGCTTTCACACTAGTCATGTCCTGTCCATATACTGAAAATGAGAAAAAACTTCTATGTTCACTAGGGATGTAACGATATACAAAGCTCACGGTGCGATATTTTCACGATATACATCTCAAGGTACAGTATTTATTGTGATATTTTGTGGAGGCTAACAAACAAATGTGAATATGCTACTTTTTTCTCTTAAAATGCCTTGACAAGACTTAACTCAAAGAACTAAGACTTAAAAGTGCTTAGAACTGTTATATCTTCATGTAGTTTGCACCAAAATGGAACAAAGGATCATGGTCGATGTAGTTTTCTCTGTCTTTTTAGCTATTGCTGCACCATAACAATAAATTTAAGCAAAGAAACTGTCATGGTTCATGTTTTGTAGTTGTTTTTTTTGCTTATTTTGGTGGATCTTTTCCTTTTGTGTTGTGTGCCCTTGGTGTTTTATTTTGATATTAGTCGTGTCTGCTTGTAGTTTGAGTTTTACTTCCTGTCTGTTGATTGATTGCCCCGCCCTAATGTGTTTCACCTGTGTTCGTGTGCTTTTATACCCTGTGTTCTTCTCTGCCCTTTGCTGGTCCATTGTATTTGCCATTGTCTGTGTCTTTGTCAGTGTCTTGTTCTTTCATGGTAGTTTAGTTTCAATTTTTTTTTTTGGATTTGAGGATTTTTTTTTTTGATTTGTTATTAAATGCTTTAAAGCAGTCCTGCATTTTGGGTCCTCCCTCTGTTTCTACCTGACAGAAACTTGTGATTCGATATATTGTGATGGTTCACGATATTATTGAGAGACTTTTGACGATACAATATCACGATATTTCGGTTATTGTTACATGCTTAATGTTCACTATATGCAGGTCAAGGCACTACATGGGGTCCCAGATTCAGCTATACTTGTGTAAAACCTTATTAAAAACTGAAATATATGCAATATAACTAGACAACAGAAGAACAAATTCTGCTTTGTTGACAATCTAAATATATGGTTACTCTAGTCTAGGCAAATACATTAATTGTTGGAATCGTACAGTATTTATTGTGATATTTTGTGGAGGCTAACAAAATTGTGAATATGATCCTTTTTAGACTTAATTCGAACAACTACGATTTAAAAGTGCTTAGAACTGTTATTTCTTCATTTAGTTTGCACCAAAATGGAGCAAAGGATCATGGTCGATGTAGTTCCCTCTGTTTTTTTAGCTACTGCTGCACCATAACAATGAATTTAAGCTGGAATCAAAGCAATAACATCTTCCTTAGAGTTAAGCAAGTGGCGTGCCTCCATCAGAAAAGTGCATCTTTACTAATAGTCCAGCTTAGACTTGAGCCGCTCACTTCTCTTATACCAACATGAAGCTTGTAGAAATGTAATGAAATTCAACTCATTTGAATTCTAAACCATATTCATAGTTTTAATATGAAACTAATGGATGAGATAAGACAGCAGTCATTTTCTCCAATATATAATTTAATTTTGTGATTACATTAAAGCTAGTCCCCAAAATTATTTTCATTAACTGTAACTGCCTTCGGTCAAATTGAGTTTGACACTGCAAATCTATAAGATGCAATATTTTAGGAATGGCTGGTTTCTTGTTACATGTCATAATCATAATCAGGTTGTGTTCATTTGCAATAACAACATTATAGAATTCCCATAGTTTAAAACTGAGCTGGAGGACAGGTCACAATCTGATGAATAGTAATTGCAGATTGCAGATTTGTTTTTATGATTTGGTTTATGATTCAATATCTTTGTGATCAATGGGCCTATCCGCATGAAAACAAAAACTGGCACAAAGTTCAAGTTTTCAAGTTATTTTTCCGCAATATCTTCAGAAAGTGGTGCCATTATTCAACCCCAAAGACGTGATTGTGGTCAGTTGAAAGAACTTTAAAAAATGAGATTAATCTTGCACATTTGTCGACTCAATCCCTAATAAATAATGAGAAGGTTCTACATTTGAGGATCATAAATTTGGATATTTCTTTCAAAAACGGTAAATCTGCCAGCGAGTTAGACAGGCCCTTTGTCCACCATCTGAGATTATGAATTATTATCATCAAATTCTCGAAAGCAACGGAGGCCGTCACCATTCCCTGTGGCACTTCTCTGTCTGAAGCCCTACTACACTTTAATTTGATCTTTATCTTTACACAATCTGATCATAAAGAGCTGACTCTGTTGGAACTACAACAGGTGAGATGATTTGTGCTGTTGAACAAGTCCCTCTCAAATAATATTAGTCACGAGTTAGTCAGCATTGGCCAACAGTTTTTCAGTTATCACTCTCACCTTTTTGTTGCCAATCAAACGCCTAAACATGAAAACATGACCCTGAGCGCTCGTATTGATCACAGGCTCCTGAAAATGTGCTGTTTAAATCCATTCTGTGCTTTTTTTTGGCGGTGTTAACTAATGTGTGCATCGCCAAACATTCTGCCATACACTAACATGCAGAACACCCCTACTGTGATGTCAAAGTATCAGTGCTGGTAGTTTTCAGTTTCTAAAGGCAGTGCAGGGGGGATGGGGGCAAAAGCCACATTCCCACATTGATTGCACTGTACTTTGTCATTTGACATATCCAGAAGGTAAATTCACAAACTGCTGACCCTGATCATTTCTATCAGTGAATAAACCGCAGAACTCACTATATCACAACAGCAATCTGCATTATAACAGTACAACAATATTCACTTGCACCCATGGACTGAGTAAGGGAGTGTGTTGTCACCCATAGCGTTCATCTCCAGTCAAATGAAGCTCATGAGGCTGGCAGTTATAAGTGTGAATTTGGAGCTGAGTTACATATTAGGAAGAGGAATTACAGATATTTATGGACAAAAAAGCAAAATAAAAACACCAGGATCATGCAAATTGAGCACATAAGTCCTGTGCTCAGGTCTTTGCACCGTCTCCTGTGGCTCGGAGAATAGACTTAAAAGTAGCTCTGCTTGTGTACAAGTCTCTCCATGGCCAAGCACCAAAGTACATCTCTGATATGTTAGTGGCATATGAACCATCTCACACTTGGAGGAGCTCCTGCTGGGGCCCAGAGTCAGGACTAAACAAGGGGAGTCAGCGTTTCAGATTCATGCAGCTAAAACCTGAAAATGTGAGACAGGCTTCTACTTTCACTCTGTTTAAATCCAGGCTCAAAACAGTTTAGCTGTTTAGCTGCGCATATGACTGAAAGGTTTTTATTTTTCATTCTGCACTCTTCTCTCTAATTTAATGTCTTGCTCTTTTTAATTTTATGATAGTTATTTATGTTTTGATTGGTTTGTATTGTAATTTGAATGAACTTCTCATTCTGTAAAGTACTTTGAATTACTTTGTGTTCAAATTGTGCTATACATATAAACTTGCCTTACCTATGAACATTTTAAAAGGACATTTCAGAATTTTGGACATAGGGTCTCATTTCCTAGTGAGCCACAGTGTTGGAGACGTGTGGAGACACTTTTTTAAATATTCCATCCAGTCCTTGTATTTGCAGAGGTCGCTGGTGCTAGGCTAGTGCATGTCAATGGCCATAGTTATCCTGCCACTAAAAACAGTCTTACCCACTCCACAAAACACCTGAAGCAAATCAGACTATCGATGTAAATGTCTGTGTTGATAGAATAATGTTTGAAGTAAAACTAACCTTGCATCGCATAAATTAATATATCAGTCCGCTGCTGCCAAGCTTTCTATCAGGAAGTACAACTCGCTGCTGCTGCTCAGACATAAATCCTTCAAACAGAGGTCTATGCAGGACTGAATTTTCAGTTCCACTCTCGCCCGCATCTGCGATATTTTGTCCTGCTCCCGCCCGCAAGTCCCACAAGATCAGGACATTCCTTTTCCTAAGCTCTATCAAACACGGAGAAGTGGAAAAGAATTGTCTAAAATGTGAGCGAGATTAAACCACATCTGCAAATTTAGGCTGCTTAAAGTGTTTGTATTAATGCCAAATAAAATATCCAGCACAAATGATGTATGATAGGCATACATTCATCATTTGTATATTTTACTTCACACTCATATTTAGTTTGCAGGACTGCAGTTTATCATCTCACCCTCCCGCTCCCGCCTGCGCCCGCAATGAGCTTTCAAAATGTGTTCTGCGCCACACTGTTTTACAAATGAAAAGTTGGTTTCATTTCTAAAATTATTCTATTGGCCCAAACATTCACACCAACAGTCTGGCATTGTAACTGTTTTGCCTTGGGTACTCTGTGGAGTGGGTAAGACTGTTTTTAGTGGCAGGATAACTATGGCCATTGACATGCACTAGTCTAGCACCAGCGACCTCTGCAAATACAAGAACTGGATGCAATATTTAAAAAAGTGTCTCCACACGTCTCCAACACTCTGGATAACTAGGAAATGAGGCCCTATGTCCAAAATTCCGAAATGTCCCTTTAAGACCAAAGTGACGCTTTCTCACATTCACACGTCTTGTTTGAAACGCGGTGGCAAGCAGGTGTATGTGTCCATTTATATACAGTCTATAGCTCCATGCACCCCATCTGTATTAAATATTATTGGCCTATAGATATCATCTGAAACCCAGTTACTGAATACAATACACTGAATGAACAACCAGCGCTTTTTATTACTAGTATCTATGTACATTTCTCAGTGCTTTACCTGGTGCGAATATACTGCAGATTTTAAGTGTTAGATTATTTTAGAATTCATGAATAAAAATAAGGATTTTTGCTTGGTTTGAAATTCCAATTTATCTTTCCTCTGCCCAGGAGCAAGGATATAGAGAAATGTGGTGCAACCAAAATGTAATAGCAAATGAGAGAATATAAAACAGGCCATACTTCGCCCAGGGAGTAGTATCTTCTGGGTATCTGTGAGTCGGGGTAGATGTTTTCCAGGTACCAGGAAAACGGTCGGCACTTCAGAGCTTCACGGAGGGCTTTACGTGAAGAGACGTCTCCGTAGTCCACCCGCATCACGCCTGGAAAACAGGATTTAACAGTTTCAATGAAAAAATAATTCTTATAAAATCATGGAATATTAAAAAAGGGAATGGCAGTGTCACAGTGGGTACATATGGGCCAGTGAACCAGAAAGAGGCTAGTTCAAGCCCAGAGCAGCATTGTGGTTTGGGCAGAAGTTGAAGGTGGAGTGCCCAAATGAACCAAAACAAACAGCAGAAATACAGATTATTATTATTTACTTTAACATTTGTGGATGGGAAAGACGTAACCCATAGTGTTTGGTTCTAAGCAAATAAAGCTCGCAAGGCTAAAAGTTATGGGGTGAATTTGGAGCTGGGTTCCACAAAAAAGCAAAATAAAAACACCAGGATTATGTAGAGCGGATAAACACACACATTTTAAGACCAAAATGAGAAGCCTGACAGCAGTAGTTACGGAGTCGATGAAGCTGGAAGTGTGCCCATGGTCACTTTCTATTTGAGATGCAGTGAGTAGCGGGTTAGTTCCGTCCATTTGTATATACAGTCTATGGGTGGAACGTCAAAAACACCTATTTCCATGGAAATCCCCCATGTTTGTGATCGTAGTACAAAACTCTAAATATATTAGCCAAAACAATGTTAAAAAGTCAACAAAAGTGGAGTAAACAGTAACCATGCTGGCGCCACCTAGTGCATCCTCTCATTTTCATTTCTCTCCAGCGACTAGGTCAGGAATCGGAATACACTAGATGGTTTGCAAGAATCCCAGAAGTTGTAGACCGCGCACCGGCCAATCAGCAAAGAGCTGTGAAGCCATGATGTCAAACTCAAGCTCCTGTCTGGGTTCCTTTTGTGGTACAGCACAACAGTAAACAAAGGGGTCGAGATGGATGTAGACGAAGCCCTACGTTCTGTGTTGGCAATAATTCCAGAGATCGAGAATTTAAAGCCAAAACAAAGAGAATGTTTGGTGAATTTTATCAAGGGGAAAGACGTTATTCCTGCGGGATTTGGCGCATTACATACTGTACGTCTCAACCAAATGGCAGCGACTGGTTAAATAAAAAAGTACCCGCCTACCATTGAGCGAATGAATCCTAATGCTGCAAGGTCAGACGGTTTCCAGTAAGTGAAACTGGCTGATGAATCAGGTTAGTGGAATAGCCCAACAGACTTAGATTTAGACAAACTTTACTGATCCAGAAGGGAAATTATTTGGACACAGTAGCTCACACATCACAATATAATATAATATGATAACAAAGAACAAAAATATAAATGGTAATAATAAATTCAGAATAAACTGTTGGTAAACAGACATCTACATTTATCACTCTACAGTGTCAGCAACATTTGAATAAACACTAGGGCTGGTATTTAGCATCTTAAAATCTCCATTGGTTTAACATTAGGCTCAGTAAAAATTCTATGAGCTCTATTCATCACGATGTTCCGCCTCTTCTTGGTCACATTCAGAAGGAGCCTTTCTTTCAGTCTGCTGTTAGCCGGGGTAAGTAATCGTGAATAATTGTACCACTACAATTTGACACAGACATCTCTAACTACTTTTAACACTGCCTTGTTGTTCAGGAAAACACTCTGAATTACTTTGTGTACACATTCTGCTCCTGGGTGTCAATTAATCTTGACCTAAATCAATCTGAGTCTATTCATCTTGTAGACAGCATCTCTTTTACTGCACAAACTCCTCTCGGTGCAAATGAGCCGAGCTTTACTGGGACATAGTGTGTTTTGTTTACACACCTGGGGCTCTGTTGAAGGTAAGTCTCATCAGAAATGCTACAGTGGAGTGATGCAGTGTATTGCAATCTGTGCTGCTGCCACAGCGACAGCCAAGAGAGTATGTATGATTTATCAGGCTGATGAAGAAGAAGAGGAGGAGGAAGAAGAAGAGGAAGAGGGGGGAGGAGGAGGATTAGGCACTGGGCACGCACACTTACAGAGACATTAGGCAGATGGTCCCTCCCCAGAGTGCTCCTCTAACACTACTGCACATGTACATCACCGGAGAAGGCTCGTTTATCAGAAAATCTACAATATATGAGAAACAGTGGAGCTACAGCTAATGATTATTTATGTGTTCGACTCATCACAGATTATTTTTAGATTCAAGATTTAGATTTTTAGACATAAATTATATCTATTGCACATTAAGATCTGTAATACTTTTGAATATGGTGACTGATATTTTTGCTCACATCCTTACTTCATTTATACTTTACTGCTTTGTCAATATATATAATATGCATCTTTATTTATTTATTTACTTATTTATTTAGTAGTAGTAGTAGTATTTTATTTTATTTTTTGTCAGGATGTCCCTTGAGATAAAACCTGGCCAAGACGCACCTTAGCAGAGACAGTAGAAAGACTTCATTACAAATACAATAGTAAAACACTGGAAACATGTATAAAATAGTGCACTTAAAGGTCCTTTATGTACCTGTTCTCATAGTACATCAGCTACCTGCTTGTGTTGATGGAGATGTTATATAACATTTTTACACTAGACACATTTTTAGTCATTTCTGTGAGCAGTGCCCAAAACCAGTCAACAAGTTTTACAACTGTTTATTATGGAGACACTACACAAACTGTCAGCATTAATCAAACATTAAAGACCCTTAGAGGATCTATGTTTTCTTTTGATCGACTAAATGTATAAATCTAATTAAGGCACAGATGCTGTATTTTGATCCGTCAAACATCAGGACATAACACAAATCTCCCTCCTGCTCTTTAATCTTAATCAAGTGTAATCTTGAATCAGTGATATACGGCGAGGCACATGAAAGCTCTGAATGAAGAAGCTCTGGTCCCTCCTCTTCTGTCCCTGTCACTCGTCTGCTGTGTGGAGCTCCTTTCATCTCTCATCCAAGCGCAGAGGATGTGAAATAGCATTAGAATAATAACATTTCTATATGCCTATATTATAACAGTTTGCATTTTCAAAAGGGGTTTGCCCATATTATAAAAATTATTTAGTCTTACAAAGCACTTTATTTACTATTTCGTGCTTTATTCATTCAATATTTCTTCATGGGTTTCACCTTCTTGTTATATGTGACATTTTGAGGATATCTTCTATTCACAAGACAAGAGAGTATGTTTAAAATTGCTGTAGCCACAGTCTGTCATCAGTCTGAAACCCATGAATACTCAGAGGTGGTCAGCTCTTGTAACTGTAGTTGCCCTGGGGCAGCCTGATAGAAATATGGCTGTCAATCAGTGCCTCCTGTCCCTCAAACCACCACCAAATGGAGCAGCTAAAAACTTAACCCAGGATCTCCAAGAATTAAGACTGTAACTGTACTGTAACATTTCTGGCACTGAGGTCGTCACCTGTTTGTCTCCATGGAGAGAAGCAGGTAACACCACCAGGCAAAGTTAAGAGGGCAGATCTGTAAGTGAATAACTGCAATAAACACCAACGCCTGACAAAGCAAGTTCTTTTTATAGAAGTATACTTTTTTAGTTCACAAGAATCCATCTAGCTAAGCTCCTGCTGTTGCAATTGCAGTTAAAGGGACAGTTCAGAATTTGGGACATAGCACCTCATTTCCTAGTGAGCCAGAGTGTTGGAGACGTGTGGAGACACTTTTTTAAATATTCCATCCAGTCTTTGTATTTGTAGAGGTCGCTGGTGCTAGCCTAGTGCATGTCAATGGCCATAGTTATCCTGCCACTAAAAACAGTCTTACCCACTCCACAAAACACCTGAAGCAAAACAATTATTACACCAGACTGTTGAATGTGAATGTCTGTGTTGATAGAATAATTTTAGAAGTAAAACCAACCTTGCATTTGAAGGATTTATGTCTGAGCAGCAGCAGCAGCGAGTTGTACTTCCTGATCATAGACCGTATATATCTGTGGACATAGCTAATGCTCTAGCCGCTGTGTGCCAAATAGGAAGTTCGCCAGGAGGCTCTCCCGGCTCCTTCTGACTCTGGCTCCAATTGACTTACATTAGAATCTTGTTACCCCTCTCTCTGTAACTGCTGCAGTGAGCCTCGGCATTTTGGTCATCATTTAAAATATTCGTATTAACCCGTTCTAAATTATTCCGATTTTTTTTGCAATTTTTTCTGTAAAAAAAAATCCTATTTGTACATAACATATAGCCTGACTCCAGATTCGCTCCTGTAACTATTAGCATCGCAAGTCTCATTTGAGTGGTGCTGAATGCTCTCACACTCGCTTAGTCCACTTGTTTTATACAGTCTATGTTCCAGATAGAAAGCTTGGGAGCGGTGGATTGATATATGAGAAAATAGTCCCTCAACATGTGATGATTCATGAGATGCAAGGTTAATTTTATTTCAAACATTATTCTATCAACACAGACATTTACATCGACAGTCTGGTGTAATAATAGATTTGTTTCAGGTGTTTTGTGGAGTGGGTAAGACTGTTTTTAGTGGCAGGATAACTATGGCCATTGACATGCACTAGCCTAGCACCAGCGACCTCTGCAAATACAAGGACTGGATGGAATATTTTAAAAAAGTGTCTCCACACGTCTCTAACACTCTGACTCACTAGGAAATGAGGTGCTATGTCCAGAACTCTGGCTGTTCCTTTAACCAGTGGTTCTGTGCAACCCCAGATCAGCGTTATGGTTTGTTTGGGTCATCCTTTTCCCGATCACATTCAGCAAGAGCCATTCAGTCTCATATCTGCTGTGAGCCAGGTAACATCTCTTTATCAATGCCAAATGAAACTGTTATTTATTACATACTTATTTGGAATCCAATTATACTTCTATTAAACGCATCAGACATGCCTCTAAATTACATGGCCTTTCAGAATCCTGATACTGGATATATATCAGTTTTATGTTAATCATATTTGCCTCTATTACCGACGGTCCTTCATCCGTTTAAGTTTGGGAGGGAAGAGTGACTTGGTGCCAGGAGACGTGTGGATTAAGGATGAGCTGGTATGGGCTGGCTGGCATGGCAAACACTTAACGGGAGATTTCCTGGACACTGCTGTTTGCTAAAGGGTAATCA